ATCTTTTGACCCTTTCCTCTCTTGGCTCTGTCTCATTTCGTTCCTTCTTCATTTCTACCATAGCAGTACCTACTGCTTTTTGTTCAGTTTTAACTTCTTATGATTGCTTGACATCCATCTCTCTTTGAGGAATGCATTGTTGGGGGGGGGGGGGAAGCATCCAGATATTACAAAACTTTAGTAGGGGCTAGAAAAAAATATTCTTAAAATTATGAAGTAAAAATTGTAGCTCTTCCTAATGAATTTAGCCCTGCAGAACTTTGGTTTGGTTTTAGTCATTGTTCCCAAGTCCATTAACAATTCATTTATGAACATACGGTAGATTTCTTATTCTGAACGTGTAACTCGAGACCTTTTGTTTCTATTCTTTGTAGACTCTGATATTTCTCTTCTTACTGTCATGGCATATGATCGGTATGTTGCCATTTGCAATCCTTTACATTATGAAATGATAACAAACAAGGAGGTTTGCACCCAAATGGTCGGTAGCATATGGATTGCCAGCTTTCTTGTTGCTGTATTAAACACTATTTATGCTTTAATATTATCCATGAGTTTTCTTGTGAAATCCCACATTTACTTAAGATTGCTTGCTCAGATTTATATGTAACTGAAACTGGAGTTGTAGTATTTATTATCACAATAACATTTGGTTGTTTTGTCTTTATTGTTCTTACTTATGTGGAGATCTTCCTTGCCATTCTGAGAATTCCTTCTGTCAGTGGAAATAAAAAGATTTTCTTCACTTGCCTACCACACCTCATTATCTTCTCCATTTTTTGTTTTTTTGTTTACTGTTTCCTTTGCTTATCTAAGGAGGCCATCTGACACACCATCACACTTTGATTTCATATTTACAGTAATGTATTCCATTATTCCACCTATGTTGAATCCATTAATCTATAGCCTGAGAAACAAGGACATCAAAGTTGATATTTCAAGGCTTTTTGATCTGAGGTCATTTTTATCAATGGGAAAGAGTAGAAACACATTTTGAAAATAAAACCAAAGAGAAAGACTAGTGTGAATTCCATCTCACATGTTTATCTTAATTTTGAAAGTTCTTTAAAAAAAAAAAAAAAGGATAAGAATAGTGTCCTATTTGTCAATATTTTACTTTATTTACTTTATTGTTTTTATTATCGTAACTTTTTAATTAACTAAACATTTTAAAAAAACAAAGGAAAAGATGATAAAGAATGATAAAAGAAGGGGAGAAAAGCTAAAAAAAAGGGGGGGGGACAAACAAGCAAAAAAAAAACCCATATAGGGTACATATTCACAGACATATGAAGTTGGTCTGTGAACACTTCAATGGATGGAAATCATAATTTGTTACAGCCATCCATAGTTAATTTATATTGATCAATTCTGCAGGCCACTAAATAGTGGAAGCCATATGCTTATCTTTCCAATGCTGAACAATCCTTTTTTTTTTTTTTTTTTAGTTTTACATTTACATAAAATCCACTTTCTTTATCTGGTATCACCTCCCATGTGATAGGAATAAACTCCAAAATATTATATCTGCATCTGAAAATATTGAATCTCAAAGTTGAGTTAAAGGACATAAAAACCTCTTTTCCAAATGGAACATTTGTCAGACATTGTGAAATCATATATTTAAATAAAGCATTATTTTCACTGCATCTTCAACAACATAACCATATACTCAGGCCTTTTCTATATAAATGCATTGGAATCATATCTGAACTTTTTCTTGTTGAAAAAGTTGTAATCTAAAATCTATTGAAGTTTTTAGTATTTTTTAAAACATATTTTTAATAGTTAAGTAAAACATACAAAGAACCAAAAAAGCAAAAAGGAGAAAGGAGATACACATGCATATGTAAATAATAGTTATAAAAGATTTTTTAAAGATTTTTTTTCAAAAAGCAAAACAAAAAATTAAAAAGAAAATCATTCTAAAGGGTATTCTCATAGCCCCTCTCTTTCTGCCTCCTCCTTTTTTTCCTCTCAGCTACTAAATACTAGCTGAATATTTTTACTTTGGACATTGTAACACATTTCTGTTTGGATCATTTTGGTGAGGATGAGGATGACAATGATTTAAACAGTTACTTTGTTTTCTTCAGAAAAAAAGTGTCTTGGCTTGTTTTGTTGTTTGAAACATTGTATCAAAAGGAATCATTCCTGTTTGAATACATTTGGAAGATAGTAGTTGTTTGAATATTTAGTCTTCTAAAAGAGTTTTAGAAGGAATTGTGGATGTTTTAAAATCTTTGATAGTTCTCAGTTGTAACATATAGATTTGTTCTTAAATGAGTTTAAATGTGAACATCTTACTTCTTCAGAATATTCTATGAAGTTTTGGGGGAGGGGAAATCTATTCAATAAAACTTTCCCTTGGAATTGTATGTCTTGCAGAGTTTCTTATTCTCCTAAAAAAGAATCTTTGTAGATTTCTCACATATTATGCTAACTGAGGTTGAAAAATGATCTGCCAGCAAGGTAATTTCTGCTCAGTACAATGTAATTTGGTAGATACATAAAGGGGAATCTGAAGAGGAATTTTGGGGATTTCATCTTAAGCAGGATCCATGAGTTGGATAAAATCTTGCCATGAGCCAAAGCAAACTACAGTGTTTCCTTTCTCCGCTGGGGGTGGGGGGTGACTCTGCAGACTGACTTGGATATGCATTCTGCTCCCCCCCCCCCACAGTTTTTAAAATTAATTGGAGGGAGATGCATCTTATAAGTTTGGGGCAATCTTTTTAAAGCCCATCATTCATATAACTGAAGTGAGGCCTCCACCCTTCTCCAGCGTTTCCTGGAATGGCCTTGCAAAGCCACATCTGCATTTGTGTTTCTCTCAGTAAAATCTGGAGAAGATCTCACTGCTTAGATCATAATGCCAAGAGATCTCTTGGCCTTTAGAATGATATAATAGTATCCTGAATAGTATCCTGAATTGGATAGATACTAGGCTTATTAGTTTGCATAACAATCTCCTTAATTACATGAATTCTAATGCTTATTAGCTTATTATGTTAATTAGGAAAACTAAAGCAAAAACAAAGGGAAAGAAAGGGAAAAAAAGGCCCTAGAGCTCATTTTGATCTGCTGTGCAGGACACCTGGGAGCTAAGCAAGTCTCTGACGAGACAGAGAAGAGCTGGTAAAACTATTCTGATACAGAAAACCTTTTTAAACCAATATTTATAGGTGGAAAATACATATACAACAATAAGTTTTAGAGGAGGAATAAAAGAGCTTCCAGGAACAGATGAAAATGAACACCTAATAACCTAAAATTAGATTTGAAGAGGAGGGTAAACCAATGTCTTTTCCATTTTTGCCACCTTTCCTTCTTATTCTCATACTCATATTCTAAGGCTATCTATATATCCATCCATTTAGCAATTTATTTATTTCTCTCATTTT